ACGTTGGACAGACTCCAGCCCACATCAGAGACTCAGGACATTTCATCGACAAAATCAGCACCCTGAAACTCAACCCCACGGACAAACTGGTCAGCTTTGACGTGATCTCCCAGTTCACCAAGGTACCAGTGAGGGACACCCTGGCACTCATCAAACAGACCTTCCCAGAAGACATCACAGCCTTATTTCAGCACTGACTAACAACCAGTTACTTCCTATGGGATAATGAGTACTACGAACAGATGGACGGTGTCGCCATGGGAAGCCCCCTGCGCCCAGTCGTAGCAAATTTCTACATGGAACATTTCGAAAAACGGGCTTTAGAAACCACACCCGTTACCCAGTCTGGTTCCGATTTGTGGATGACACCTTCGCAATTTGGAATCAGGATGAAGAAGACCTAGAGAAGTTCCTGAGCCACCTAAACATCACAGAGATAGCTGCTCCTGTCTGTGCTCCTGCACTCTGAAGATGCAGGTCACAGGTGCTGGCGTAGTGTTAGGAAACAAAACTTCCAGAACACGGCCACACAGCCCAGAAGACCCACACCAGCCATCATTTGAAGAGTACCTTGTATATCCTTGCTTGGAAGGAAATGTTTGTGTGGGGAAAATAACCCTTTCTGAAAAGGGCTTCTTTTTATTTTTTCTTTCTTTCCCTTTCAAGTTACCTCTCTCCCTTGTCTTACCAGTTTTGTCTCCCCTGCCCCCATTTCCTCTTTCTTTTCTGGCAGCAGTTAGCCCTTTTTCTATCTCTGTCTTGGTTTTTTCCCCTTTTCAGATGGAAGGAAAGGGAATATGTTGTGTGTTTCTGGGCGTAAGATTGGACTATGTGCATGAGAGAATAGCTAGTACAAGCAGAGGGTTGATCAATTAATTTATAAATGCAGTGCACTGTTTTACAGGCAAATAATTTCAGTCAATAGATATTAACTCATTATTGTTTGTCCTGTCCCTGATCTTTTTTAGAGTGTGTCTTCTGGTAGATATATGCATATATCTACACTATGAATGCACACTGTCAGTGACTCTTACACACATTTAGTGGGGAGAGGGAAGAGGGAAATCTATAGGATTGATTTCAGATTGAGTTGGCAACCCTAGATTGACCAGGTGGGGAAGATGGGCATTACCCAAGATTTCTGCCTATGTTTTTTCTGTCTACTTTTCTTATGGTTATAGTAGCATTTAATATAGGGTAGTCTTCCATTTTGATAAATATGGTACTTAAATTATTTGAAAAAAGAGTTTAGAAACTAAAGAATGGGAGCTGAGGGAGATACTTTCGTATTTGTTCTTGTTGCAGAGGTTGTTGAACATGCTTGTAGTGTGACATCTCTTATGTTGGGTGAAACCCTTCCCTCCATTACTAAAGACATGGACACTTGCACCTATCGCTTGCCTCTGGGAGTGTGTGCAGGCATTGCACCTTTTAATTTCCCTGCCATGATTCCTCTTTGGATGTTCCCCATGGCCATGGTGTGTGGAAACACTTTCTTGATGAAGCCTTCAGAGCGTGTTCCAGGAGCCCTTATGTTTCTTGCCCAGCTGTTGCAGGATGCTGGTGCACCTGATGGAACACTAAACATTATCCATGGACAACATGAAGGTAATTGCAAGGGAGGTTTTGAAAGGCCTCCACCCTTCAGTGTATAGATGGGATGGAATAGTCACACGCAGAGTTAAGTAGTCAAATTACATGCTTGTATTCCTAGTTTACTAATTCAGAATAAGTGATTTCCCCATCATTCCCTCTCCAGCTGACGTGTCCTCTTCTTAAGCACATTATCAAATGACTAGAAAAAGTGTACTTTCACTACTTTTGGATATCCTTATTGGCAAGTGTGATCATGTAGTTTATGACTCTAGATCAAATAATTGTGATTGTGCATTTGTGCTTTGATCTAGTAAAAAAGAAGAAATAAATGTACCATTTGAGAAACCCAAGTAGCTGACCCAAAAAGAACAAGGTTTTAATTGTAAGGAAGTAATTGAGAACATCGAAGTCTTAGTGTTGAAGATAAGCTGGAGAGGAAAAAATGAATTATTTTTAATTATTATCATTATTATTGTAGTATAAAGACAGCAAGTTTTTTTAACATTCTGTTGTAATTAACAATGTTTCTTTATTCTTTTTTGTTTGAAGCTGTGAACTTTATTTGCGATCATCCTGATATTAAAGCCATCAGCTTTGTTGGATCTAATCAGGCTGGAGAATATATCTATGAAAGAGGTTCAAAACATGGCAAGAGAGTCCAGGCCAATATGGTAAAACTCAGCACATAAAATTTCACTTCAGTTTACAGAATAGCCATCTACCAAAGCATTTGAAATGGTGATAATTTTGTGCTTTGAACTGCAGTTCTGATCTGCAGTTTCATTGAAATGACAAAATGTAAATGATTGTCATTTTAAATATAGCTAAATAGATTCTTTAAAACTATGGTGTATTGAAAAAAGCGTAATGGTTTGGTTTCTAATGCTAAGCTTTTCTTCACTTTACATCATAAGTTTAAAAATCCTGACTTTAATGTTCTGTGTGAATTGGGCCACTGAATAACTCTTTAGTCTAAAAGTTTTTTATTTTTATTTTTTCTTATTTATATCTCCTAGTTGTTCTCAGTGCTGGATAGGATATTCCCTGTTCCAATACAAATTTTTAGGAGCTAAGCAATAATGTGCTTTAAAATTTGCTTCAAATGTTTACATTCTGCTTTCCCATCTTCAAGCCCTTATCTTCATTTGGAATTGATTAACCAGCACAATGCTGATTGTGTTATGCCACAAAGAATTCCAGAATAAATAAATGCAGGATAGAAAACTCTGGAACAGTAACTAGGAATTATAGAAATTGGACCAATACATCTTGAAGTCTGATGTACATGACTAATTAAAGGCTATGTGACTGAACTATATTTCCCATGTCAATCAAAACAATTACTTTGTACAATTTGGCTGGAGAGCAAAAACATTGCGTGTGAATTCATGGCACATGGGGCTTTTCCAACATTTCTTTACCATTGTCAGCTTTTTATCAATCATGAGGTGTGTGTGTTTTGTGTACTTCACCTTTTCTGACTTCTTGCTTGCATATTCATGGGAAAGGCAGAAATTGGGTCCATTAGATCTTGAGATGGTTGTTAAATGTGTATACAGTATATTTAAAGGCCTGTATGTTATATTGTAGGGAGCTAAGAACCATGGAGTGGTGATGGCAGATGCCAATAAGGAGAACACGCTAAATCAACTGATTGGAGCAGCTTTTGGAGCAGCTGGCCAGCGGTGCATGGCATTATCTGCTGCAATCTTGGTAGGGGAGGCTCGGAAATGGCTACCAGAGCTGGTGGAAAGAGCAAAGAACTTGCGAGTTAATGCAGGTATACTTTTTATAATCTGGTCTGTTATGGGCAGTTGCTTGCATGTAGGCCTTCCTAATCTGATTCCTTTTAGATGAGCTGAACCATTTCCCAGAATCCTTAGCATTTTACTATGCTTATTTGGGGGTTTGGAAATTGAAGTTCAGCAAATCTGGAAGGCATTCAGTTGAGAAAGGCTGATTGATGTAGACAATCGAGGTGTTCCACAATGGATCTTTATTTTGTACATTTATACCCTGCTTACCAGAACTATATTCCAAAGTCACCAGCATTAATGAAAAAAATTAAGTTCTACCAGACTTGCAGATTAGGAGGACATGATACGCAGTTGGTGGTTCTTGTTCCTCTAGCTGATGGCACAATGTCTTTTCCATAGGTTAAGAGTAACTAGCAGTTGGAACAGAGGGTTCTTTCTGCCAGGGAAGAAATAAACAAGTTTCTTGCAGCCCTTCTCTGGCAGATGGATGGAGGCAGGATGATACCCTTCTTGCCATGTTGGTCTTAATGTTAGACTGATAGACAACTTCTCAATGGCCCTCGTACTCCTGGCTAAAGGCAGAGGCCACTTTGCTTCCTTTAGCTATGCAGTTACAGGGCTTTGTAGAATAGAGTGCATCTGATTGTGAAGTATCCATTTTGAGCCCAAGAATGACCATTGCAAATGCTACTATAAGTTATTAGATACAGTAAATTTGCATTCTTCTTAGGTGAGATAGTTAAATACTGTTTAATTATACAGCTACAAGAGCAACCAAAATGCTTATTACTTAAAAAAATGTAGAATGGCTTATCTGCCTAGACAAATAACTGGGTAAAAAAAAAAAAAGAAGTAGAGCATTTAGCACAATAAATAGTTTGAAACAATTTGCTTAAACTAAATAACACAATGGCTATTGTGCCTTAGGTAGACAAATCTTATATTTGATGAACAAATATTAAATAGTGATCTTAAGTGCATCCAGGTGATCCCTTACATAATATTTTGTTTAATTCTGCATATTTTATTGCATTTTTAAAAAATGAAGTCTGATTGTAGGCTCTGAGCAATTTTTGTGTATTATAGGAGATCAACCTGG